ACCGCGTGCTTGCATGCTAACTCTCTATTTCAAGTGGGTGGTGGGTTCCCTCTATTGTCCTAATGCTTATCTTTCTCATATAAATGACTATCAGTACTCTTTTCTATAAAATTGAACTCGTCGCTCACGCGAATTATAGTAAATTTCGATAACATTTTCGTGCTTGTGGCATTTCCGCAAAAGTTACTTTCTGACCTCGTGAACCTATCACGGATTCGTTTGTAAACAACTTAATTCATATGCTCTTTAATTTAAGATTTATGTCACCGTTTCCTTATGCGTTACTCGATTTATGTTAGTTGTTATCTTTCTCTCAAGTGATTGGCTGCTGCTTGATATCCCCGGTGTGGCTGCGCTTGATGTGCATGTTGACAAGGTGCCTACCTGTCTATTACCCACTACTACCTCGTTCATACTGGCTCCAGGAGACAGTTGGTCGTTGCTGGAGGGGACGGGGTGCACGGTCCTTGTGGCCGTGTTAGGATCAAAGAGTGGTTCCATGCACTCAGTGTGGAGCGGACTACGGTCCAGCCACCGCCTTGTGTGCGCTTGATTCCCAAATACAGCGTGCTTGTGTTTGTCTGTGAAGGAGTGTGGGCCGGCTCCGTTGATGAAACGTGGCTCCCATCCACATGCCTCCCGGTCTTATTCCTTCGGGTTTACATCGGATATGGGGTGTGTGGTTGGAGCCGTGGGCGGTGCAGCGCAAAGCCACCCATAGTCCCTCTGTAGGCGCAGGCGTCTTGTGGCTGGCCATGGTGACAGGCGAATCCGAAACCGGATGCCGCTAACCATATATATATATATATATATATATATATATATATATATATATATATATATATATACAGGTAAACGTAAGCAAATCAAGCGGACCTGATCGGTTGTCTCTCCTCGTCCTTAAAGAACGTGCAGATGAACTGCTACAACCGCTAGCTGAGTTTTACACTATGTGCGCATACAAATGCAAGATCGTGGACCGTTATAGAGCTGTTAGCACAACACTATTAGCGCAAAAACCGACAGGTGAATACGGACCTATTGCGTTTACTTCGATGGTTGTAAAGGTCTTCGAGAAGTGCATTTTGGAAACATTGCTAACCAATACTATCTGAATGACGCACATCAATTTGCATACCGAAGTTCGAGGTCGACACAAGACGCAGTGGCTTGTCTAGTGAACTCAGTGCCATCGTCACTAGAAAGCAAGAACAAAGCCACATGTGTACGCTTTCTTGACTAAAGCAACGCCTCCGGTTGTGTTAACCGTGAAATCTTGTTACAAGTTCTCCTGGCTTCTGCTATCCAACCATCTCTAGCCTTCTTGCTACAGGATTACTTTGACAAACGTACTCAGATAGCCAGGTTCAACGGCAGGAGCTCTTTGTCTTTTACCACTAATTCCGGTGTCCTTTAGGGAGGCAACTTGTCAGGGCCAGGTGATTGGTTCACTTGCAACCTGATTAATTTCCTGTGTACTTCTAGGCTGTTAAGACAAAGAGGGCTATCTGAGGTTAGCGGTAACAGCAGAGGATATATCAAAGGAAGAGGTATCATCTTGGTCGTAAAACTCGAGGTTTAGTTTTTCCACATCCGGAGTTGAATGCGTGACCGCGCAGGTGACTCCACTGTTTCAACATTTTCCATATTTCATGATAATTATTGTTTCCTATTCTGAAATGGTCGAAGCGACGCCACAAGCTATTCTCATATCAATCCATACATGCTTTAATGATGTAATGTTTTTGCGTTTATAAGCCTTTACCATAAGTCTACGCTGTCGTTTGAGACGAGAATCTATCGGCACGGATAAAAGTTGTTTCAATTGGATGACGTGTCGAAGCGAAAGTTTAAGTAACTAGTAAAATGGTCGCATTACTTCGATATCTCCGCAATGGAAAATAAACCAAAATTTGCAAAAGAAATGGTTTCACGTAGTCGCTGAATATTCTGAGGAAGGCATTGTCTCCGGCTGCACTTTCGATCTCTGCAAAGGGTGAAATCTGTATGGTTCAGCCAGTAAAAATGACGCGAAGATGGAATAATCAGAGCTCCCAAGCGGGGCACCAGTGCAAACAGAAAACACTTTCAGGTTGTTAACAAATACAATGTCAAGAGCTGCATCTGTCCAGGTTGGAGATTGCACTATGTTGTTTAGCGCGATTCGCAAAGAATCTGGTGTTATATCTGTTTAAATCGCCGGCAGCTATGTATAAGGAGAATTCCAGGTATTCGAGGACCGCAGCTATGACTCCGTCATAAAAATCTTAAGCTTCGTAGCTTGGACAGCTGGGTGAGGCAGAAACATTAGCCAAGAAAATAGAACCGTTCAGGAGCCTTGGTTTGAAATTCACGATTAAACAGCTGATGCGTTGCGAGCTGTATTGAAAAATGCTTTTAATCGACGGACACCATAAGGAATTAATATAGATGATAACGCTACCACCGCGGTTCTTTTACGTACATTGGCGGACAACAAGAAAATAGTGACATCCGTCGAGTTCCACGACTGCATGAAACCAGGTTTCCTGCAGCGTAATGATGCCCAAGCGAGAATATTCACATCATTTTATAACAGTTTGGAGGTCTTCTAATTTTCAAATAACGATCGAATACTAGCACTGAGTAAAACAGGTAGGCTCATATTTCCGAGATGTTTCCTTCGAAGTGCAACCCGCCATCCTGCATGGTGTTACTGTGTATAATACTGTTGCTACTTTTTGATCCTGTTTATTTTTCTCATGTGGCTTGACCAGAAAAAACTGTCCAATTCATATGCATGAAAACACGCAAAAAGCTCAAACTATCACGAGCGTAAATGATTATGTCCATAGTTGCAGAACGAAATATTGAAAAGTTATAACAAAATGGTTTTGATGCAGTGCTGAAAAGTGTGCTAGTAAAAGTTTTAGATATGAATTATAGAGCACCATGAAATTTGAAGGTCCCGCGTTAAGCATCTAACCTTGGTAACTGTGCCAACTCTGGTGATCACATCACTGATGGGGGTACTTCGCATATCAGTAAAAATCGTCAGGCATTTTAGAGGCGCAACCGACTACGGAGACGTTAGGATATAGGTTTGTCTGTAGAAACTAAGGCATACAACTGTGGCAAGGCCGGTGTTACTCTATGGATCGAGTGTTGGCCACTTCTGATTGAATAGAGTAAATAATCTTTGCGGATTATTGCTCATATCCGGCTGGAACACCGATGAGCACTGCTGAGGTCGCCAATTCCTTTTTGGTAAGAAAACCCGTGGTAAATCACTGAAGTGTTAGTTAAAGCTTACCCGATTACTTCGGATAGGTAATGTTCAGGGTGCCGGTTGACCGATTTCGTCGGCGCGTGGTATATGTCGTCGCAGAGTATATCTGGGCGAAGTCGAATAGCGGTACGTCGTCAATCCGGCATAAAAGCAAGTAGAAATCCATCGAAAGACTTAGTCAAGTTGGGGCATGGACATAGCGCGGTCACGTAGTCAATGGCTCTCCGGCATCCGGCACCTAGCTATTATTATTAACTCCATCCTGATTAAACCATATCCAGTTCCTTCGAAACTCCACTTTGTTTTTTGTTTATCTGCGTTCAATCCCATTTTCTCACTATTGCTGTTTCGTCTTATTTTGGCCAGTCGAAACTAGGCGATCGGATTCACCGCAGTTCGACACCAAGTTGTTTAGGTTGGCTGAATAGTCTTGAGGTGCAGTACGAGACCGGTGCTCATTTTGACTGAAAATGGTAATCAACTTCCACAATTATACATTCGCCTCAATCGTATGAAAGGTTATCGCACCGCATTTGTATAGTGACTAGGAGCAGTAAGGCAGTGAGGGGCCGAGTACTTATCGCCCCACAGCAGCCTACCTGTTCCAAGCTACGCTTAAGGTTCGAGGGATGTCAACATCATGGATAGTTCGGTCAAGGCTGTTTGCAACGCTTCGCTAGTATCAAGACCTACGAATGATGTATGAGAGATTAGTATCCGGGGAACGCGTACGACCGGTGTGTTCATACGGTGAAGTATAAAGCAGAGCTGAAAAGTAAGAGCATTAGCGTCACAAAAAACTAGGTTTTACGGTATGCAAACGCAAACTTGTAAAAACAGAGTCCACTGAAGTTTAATGCAACATACGGATCGTTACTTGTCAGACATACAGATGCTCCAATTTGTAAAACAAGGGAATGAAATGCCCCATTGTTTCCGCGTCCTTAGGTGCTAAATATTAATCGCTTGCGTCGGCCAGGCCATGGCCTCCGTAGGCCGCTTGGTCGACTTCCTCGGCGTGCATTATACTCTGAGAAGTCTAACGCATTTTCTTCTTGCCTCTATTTTCTCTACAGTCTATTTGGACCCAAATCCACCGTCTTGCCGTTATTATTTATTGTTGCTCTTACGGTGTGAGTAGTGGCAATTGGATCTACCGCACTTCAGCGCTGAGATCATGGTTGTTCCACTGAAGTGAATTGAACTGCGTGCATAGGGAAATACAGGCTCCTTCCGATGCACTACAAAACGACGTGATAGCTCGTCGTACCCAGTGCTAGGGTTGAACAAAATTGTGTGTGACTTGCAGCATCCAGACAAGCGCAAAGCTAGTCTGAAGTATGACGACGGCAATTTTGAGATTGCAGCGCGGAAAATACAAAGTGAACAGTTCCATCTCGTGAACGCAAACGAGGCAGGTCGCAGATGATGTCCCCCTACAAGTTAGGACATTTTCGGCAAATTGCAAAGCAAAGTACATTAGCTAAAGCGCATTAGAGGCAAACCCATCGGTGTTCCAACAGCATCGACAGGCCGGCAGTAAAAAATTATATATAAGCAATTTAAAGACTGGGAACTGCGAGAAAAAGATGTTTAGTATTTGCGATCGGGAGTGCCATTCAAGCGCCGATGTCGTTGCGCGACAGCGCCACCTGAAAGCTTTGCAGCACAAAAATGTAAAATAATTATGCGGAGAACAGACTCATATGGAAGATAGTAGGAAAAAGCTAACCTTATGTATGATGATAGCTAAGAAGAGCACCAACTTTAGTCGTATATGGTCGGCAGCGAACGCAGCACCCAGAGCTAATCCGTCAGCGAAGGAGTGGAACACAAGGCCCAAAGTTGCAGTGACCATTTGTTTGTCAACTGTAAGCCCAACTCCAGATCCGGTTTTAACAGGGGAAGATCGGTTGGATTGTTTGCAGCACAAAAGACCGGGAACAGGGCAACACTTCGTGGTCCGTGAGGGGAAACACCCTTCCAAAGCGCCACCCAACTGATCCACCAAAAGCATGAAGAGATAACCAATGAGCAGAGATAATCCCACCAACTGGTGTCTTGTGAAGAAGCCAAGTGGTGAATGCAACGCTTGCTCCGAATCGCCGAGTACCGATGGCAACTTCGGAAAGTAACCCGATTTATCTCCATCAGGAGCCAAGTTTAGCGACGGTCGTTCCGCTCCAGGCACTGTTGCTTTTGATTCAACATACTGTTTAGCCTGAAACAACAAAAACGAGTAATAACTACACGTTTAGCTGAATATGATCTTTGAAAAGGGACTGGGAGATCAATGGACTAGAGACTAAGTAACTAGGGGCAATGAATTCCCGGAATATTGAACCAACGAAACAAGAGAGAGCAATAAAGATTCAAACGCCTACTGAATGATTCGAATTCCAAACAAAAAACTGGTACATGAGGGAAGCAAACACCGCAACCAGGGCGGACAGCTGTGTTTCAGCAGTGCCAAGAAACGTGACCAAGGTCGCCACAGATGGAGACTGTCTAGACGCCTCGACCGATGAACAAACCAGCTGGCGAATTCATGTTACAGCATAAAGGTTTAAGGTTCAAGCGCACACAATTCCAAGTAGAAAGAGGAATGAAGTAATAAACCTCAACCCGGTACAGATGAGAAGTGTTGTAGATGCGATGAACATATTGGGCTAAGAAAGAGGCAGCGCAAAGGTCCACGATTCACAATGCCACACTGGAATTTGTGACAGTGGTTATGAGGAACTAAGGTAGCAAGGCGATAATCAAGCAAGTAATATCGGCCAGTAAGTCCTGAAACGAAACCTTCAAAGACACGTAGAAAAGAAGCTGAATAAAAAAGGCAACAGGTGCACTGGAAAAACATTAGCAGGGTAGGCAGTTGAGTACACTTGCACGTCACTCTCATGAGCAAAAAACGTCAGTCAAGAAAACGAAAGGGAAATCTTTGGCTATGGTAATATAAGTGAATAAGATGGGTGAACCACAGAATATAGTTGAAAACAAAATCGATGTAACAAGTCTTACAACTCAACGGATGATTGAGAGGTGAGTAGTGAATGTGGAGCACAATAAATGAGCGAACAGTAACGATTAGGTGATCAGAGTGTGATGCAGAGGTATAACGTGTTGGTCCACGTGCGTAGAGAGTCGAAAAGCAGTTGCAGCGAAATTGTGTAAAAAATAATATTGCGTTTGGATCGACGCGTTGACTAGACTTTCTAGTCAACTTGCTTATTCCTCGATAAGGTACGCAAACTGGGCCAATTTGCGTAGAACGACTGTCAACTATGAACCTAATGAACAATGATTTATCACGGGATAAAAGCAAGTGCTTGACATGTCCCGTAGGATGGTTGGGGTGAATATGATGAAATTAAAATATGTTTGGGTCATCTATCGAACGTCTGCCGAGATGAATACTTTGGTAATTAACATCAGTGTAAGACGAAAAGAAATTATCGCGCGTAAACGTTCAGAAAGACACTGGGGGCAGTGATGTTTGAGGTAAGGAGCAAGAAAAGTAAAATATGGTCGCTCAATTAGGTCCATTTGATACATAAATCCTGTTGAAAACATGCTTGGCGTAATCCACAATAGAGGAGTTTAGGTGACAAAATGTTGGGAGCTAAGAGCAATATCTAGTCGATTTTTGAAAACATCCAAGGTAGGAGAGGATACCACTGAGTCTAGGAGTGCGTTCCAGGGTTGGCAAACCCGAAGGGAAAAGTAATTACGTCGACACTCTAGACGGCTATATTGTTCCTTCAACTTTAAGCAGTTACCTCTGAGCTGTGTGTTGTGGCTAAGTTTCAGCAAATGGCGGCATACGTGGTTGGGTCACTCAGTATCTGATACGTTAATATGAGATCGCCACGCAGCTTTCGATAGCATCCGCTGAAAATTCCCAGCAACTTCAGCCTTCGGTGGTAAGAGTGATACCGCAGGCCCATCACGTTCTTTGTTGCTCTCCGTTGTGGTGCCTCTAACGCTTCTAGGTCCCGCTTCAACCAAGGTTGTCAAGCTTGGATTGCGTACTCAACATGCAGGCGCACGTAGGAATTGTGCATCAACGGGAAGATTGACGGGTCAAATCTCCCGAATGCCCTTCGCAGCATGCCGACGTGCTGGTTGACTCTTTTCGAAGCTACCTCAGCTTGTTTCGAACAGTTGAGGTCGCTCTGTACGAGCACACCAAGGTCACATGTCTGGGAGGTGGTCTGCAATCTGGTTGTCCCAAGCAAATATGTGTAGTTATGTCTATGGCGTAATTGTACAACGCGATATTTGTCTATGTTGAACGGTAGGGCGTTTTGAACTGACCAGTTCGACACTGTGTTAAGATCGCACTGGAGCGATGAAAACGTGCTTATATCAAATTGCAAATAAATGGTTCGTCCCAATATTTGCACCAAGTAGTGTTCACACTGCTCCAGCATAATCTTCATATCGCGAGTATTCCAACAGTACAAATCTCTTTGGCAAGATAAGATCAGGTGAATTTGAATCTAGCAATTAAATGGTGATTGGTTTCTGCAAAACGTACAATGCGGTGTTGGAGGTTAGACGTCATAACGCGGAGTTGTAAGCATACAATTTCATCGAAGCAAGTCAGTAGGCGAAGTAATTACTGAGCTGAACAACAAGGAGGTGAATTGAAAAGACCAGTGATGTTTCGTTGGGAAAGCACTACTATTGCTGTGGACGCCTCGGTTGGCAAGGGATATTTTTGATATAATTTGTTTGACTGAATAATTATCAAATGCAGTGACCTCGTTCGATTTCGATGCGCGAAAGTCGTGTCTACTTAACACGACCATATAGATGAATGCAAACAAAACGATAAGAAATCTTGGGATATCAAGCAGTGTGAGGAATGCTTAAACAAGGTATGGTAATGCTTTCGAATTGTTAGTTGCGTCAATACGAGAATCTATTCAGTTTGATGGTCCAGGTCCACTCGAGTCCCAGCGTACAAGCCAAGCAATCAACAAGGAATATTGTCGGCCGCACTAATTCACGCTGGCGCAGTTCAACAGCCCCGGTGCTCACCTACTAAAGTAACTAGTAAGTTACCATTTAATCGAATTCAAACCGGTGTTGACCAGTGGTCTCAGCTTCCGCCGTACAAAAAGTTGATACATTTCCCGAGTCATCTTCATCGGAGCTGCATAGGTTGGAAGATCAAACTTCCTGATTAAGCACACGACTGATGCCTTCGGTGAAAATGACATAACATGTACCTAAACACGTGAGGTGACAAATTCACTGACCTAGAAGGAACGCAACCGAACGTTACACGGTTGTGGATTCATCAGAAGCACTCATTGTGCGAATGGAGTGCAACACTCAATCTCAATGTATAGCGCAAATCGCAATAAACTGAACAGCAGCCAATATCATCACTGAGAAAGCAAATGAGGGAGTGGACAGATATTGCTTGTTTCCCGTCTGAAAACACACTGCACTCCCGATCAGTTACAAAATTGTTCGATCACAATGGGTGCAGATAGTAGGCACCAGAATGCGCGGCCTTTGGGATACCTGAACCCTATGCTCCAATGGACAAGGAGAAAAGTTGGGAGTGCCTGACACAAAGGTTAATGAAAGGTTGAAGGGGTCAAGTAGAATACCTTGGTGTGCAACAAATCTTAATCTAGAATAAAATTCACTCCAGTGAATCGCGGTCGACTCCGGTACTGGCAATGCACGTCAGGGTAGCCCGACCGCATTGCCGCACCACACGACCAGACTAGAGCACTTACAGCAAAGTTGCATAAAAAATACAAAATTTCGCGAATAAAGTCAAAAATGTTGCAAAAAACTGTGCGATTCGCCAGCCGCTCAGAGCCAATCCGCTGTTCTCATTGGCCGGATGCCAAGGTTCGGTGCGTTAATCTGGAGAGGTGAACGAGCTGACCGTTGACTGGGTGAGACTTGTGAATGAACGTTGGAGACATACACTTCGGCGGTGCAACGGGCTTGTATGCGCCCCCCTCACGTCCGAAACGGTGCATCACAATTGGTCTGAGAGCAATGAACAGCTGGAACGTAAGCGCACGACCGAAACCATGTCTATGACACTAACGTCGTCGGCGTGCCTTCTCGCGTTCGACAGAGTATCTTATCAGACATTAGTGACCGAGTTTTGGGCGCCTTCGTCAACGGTGATGACTGGGAGCTGGTGGCAACTGTGAACAATGTCAAATATCAAACAGCCTACTCCTGGATTCGTCGTTCTCTTGATCAGGAGCCGAGTACTACGCAGGCGCGCGGTCGTAAGCTGATTCTGTAGGAGGAAGACGTAGATGATATCCTGGATTGGATCGCAAGGGACTCAACTCTTACGCTACGGGAAATGAGAGTACGAGTACGAGCAGAAATGGACAAGGACATTTCGAAGTCAAAAATCGCACGGCACCTAGATGGTCGATTAATAACTATGAATAACATCTATCAGGTTCCCGAGGGAATGAACAATGGGCGAACCCAAGGGATGCGCAGGGAATTCGTTCAGCAGTTTCTTCAACTTGAGAGCGATGGCAAGTTATTCATTTGGATTGACGAAGCGGACTTCAACATTTACTGCAAACGTACTCGTGGTCGGGCGCCCAAAGGAGTGAGGGCCTGTGGCAAAGTTGCCAACAGCAGAGGCCTCAATTTGAATCTGATCAGTGCACTCACAATGGGAGCGAAAGTGTCGATGACCACCCGAAGAGGCTCATTCGCAGGTCCCCTATCTGTCGAATGGCTGCGAAGCTATTTAGACAACTTGAAACGGGAGATGGAGCTCCGGCAGGATGTCGTGATATGTGATAATGCACCATGTCACACACGACTGGAAAAAACTGTCGTCGGTAGATGGATGCGAGGGAATAACCATGCTGCGATTGAGCCCATACTCTCTGTTCCTCAATCCGATCGAGAATGTTTGGCAGGTGGTGAAGGCTAGAGTAAAGAATGAGAGGAGAGTACACTACGAGGAACTTCTGGCCGGGGATCCTCATAAAGTCACGACGCAGATGGAATGGAGGCCGCAGTTCCTTCAACTCATTGTCGGATGTCGTAATGCACAGTGTTTTGCAACATTTTGGACTTTATTTGTAAAATTTAGCGCATTCTTTGTAAAATTTTGTACCTTTAGTGCAACTTTGCTGTAAATGCTATAGGAATTGCACGCAGCCATCAGGTAGAGAGAGCAGAACTAAAGTCGGAAACGTAGGG